TTATCCTAGACTAATATTATAAAGGTAGAACATGTGTGCGCGCCTTTTAAGAATATTAGGAAAGATGCTTGCATATAATGCCTTAGAGATAGTAAAGTGTTAGCAGAGCTTAATAAATACTATAGCCTTATTAGCTAGAATATTATATAGTTGCCCTGTGTAGTTGTTCTCCTTCCTTTATGCCTTCTAAAATTATATAACCTTCTTAGGTGTAAAGTTCTCTACTGTAATATCTTATGTAAGTAGAAGTTAGTATAGATTGTACAGTAATTAAATTATATATAGTAGGTACAAGCTTTAGGGAATCTTATGCAGAGCTGTGGCTACAGGAATATGTAGCTGCCTAGTTGTGCTCTTATACAGTAAGCTATTATAAAGTAGTTATACTAATTATAAAGAAAGTATTAGGTCTGTAGGTAATTTATATAGAGACATCCTTTATTATGTTAAGACTAGTAATAGTAGTAATAGTTTTATATAATGCTTTAGTAAGATAGTAAATATATATTCTTTTTTTATAAGTCTATATAGTGTAGTAGCTTCTGTTATGTCCTTTTTAAAGCTAATACTTTTATTCTATAGAGTAGTAATTAGTTTTTATAAGAATAGTTAGCTAAGATTTTTAAAGTGTATAAGCTTTTACTTTATAAAGTTATTCTAAAAGTTCTTAAGTGTATGTACATTTATTATGCTTAACGCGCAGAGTTTTATAATTAAGTTAGCTGTGTACAAATTAAGCTTTTTTTTAGGTGTGTTATTTAATAGTTTAATTTTATTTACTTAATTTTTAATATTTATCTGCTCTGCTAGAGTCTTTGCTAAGATGCCTATAAAAGGTATGTATTAGTTATATGTTAATATGTTATGTTAGCTAGTTATAGATAAAGCTAGCGTTGCTTGTTGCTTTATAGTAGTTAATTATGCGTTGTTGCGCGCTGTCTTACTTCTTGTTGTACGCTGCCTCTAAATAGCCTTATGTAAAAAGATAAAACAGACCTTCTAGTGTTAAATAAGCACTACTATTTGTACAATACCTCTAAATAGTATTGTACAGACAGGTTTCTTGCTCTTACTTAGGTAACTAAACAGAGATTTACAGCTACTTACATGTAAATTAAACTCTGTCTTTACTCTTACTAATTTATAGTTAAAGTAGTAAGGAAAAAGTTTTTTTTTGTACATAAACTTTTAAATAGAAAGGTATAAAAAGAGCTTTCTCTTTTACAGTATTTAAACTACTAATTAGTGTTAAATAGACTCTCTGCTAGCTAGCACTTAGTGTTAGCAAATGCGTACAAGACAGAGAGGTTTGCACAGTGTAAACATCGCACAGGGGTGTTAGGTAACTAGTGTTAATTGCTTCTTTTTATTTTTCCTCTGTACAGAGGAAAAGGGGGATATCTAGATGTTCGCGCACGGAGGTTCGCGCACGAGCATCATGTGACATAGATACGTGATCCTGCTCGTGCGCGATCGCTCGTATCCAGGACGCGACGCTGCTGCTGCGTACGGACAATTAGTATATAAATGCCTAAAAATTATTATTTTTAACTAAGATAAACTGTTTACTAGCAGCTTCTAGAAAGCAGTAATATAGCACTTTAGTATAACATATAAACTATTAACAGCCTATTACTTATAAACAAACAGGCAGACTAAATAAATAAACATAGAAGTAGAAAAATATTTAAAAAAGTATACTTTTTATACTTAAAATAATTAGCTAACATAGCTTCTAATAGCGCAGCTAGCTATTAACAGTGTAGAATTAGCTATAATAAAAGAAACACTATATAAAGCTAATTTTAGATATAACTTTTACTTTAGGCTGTAAGAAAACTAACCTGTAGACTTACAGAAATTAGTAAATAGACTAACAGACCTACATTAAATCTATAAAAAGTTAGCTATAGAAGTAAGGTCTAGCAAAGAAATAATAAAGAAGTATATAAATAAATTATAATAACTAGGACTAGAAATCTACCTAAAAAACTATATGTACTTTAACATAAAAAACTTTAAGGTACCTAAACCCTCTAGAAAGCTAGTAGAAAAAAAGATAAAACTATATAAAGTCTTTTAAACTTAATAAGATAATTATAAGCTTAAGCTTTCTCTACACATAAAAATACATCTATAGTTCTACATCTCTAGATTAGAAAAGGCACTAAAAAAAATCCTCTTATCTATATAAAAATAAAAAGATAAAGAAATAAAATATAAAGTTAAACATATTATAAGTAATTAAAAAAACTAAAAAGAATTTTTAGTAAAATAAAAAAAATAGCTTACTAGTAAAAATACATAAAAACTAGCTAAGAATTTATAGAACATGTAGCTATTAGTATAAGAGTACCTTTAGGCTTGTCTAAAAAAAACTAGCTAGGTAATAAAGCACCTATATTAAAAGAAATAGCTATGTTATTACTAAATAGCAGCAGCCTTTAGAGACAAGTCCTAGCTAATAATAGTTAAGAAAAGGAATAGCTTTTTACTTTAGCCTTAAGAGCTTTTATCTTATCTAAGAAGAAGAGGTCCCCTTTTAAGTACTTTATGTAATAAGCCTTTAATAGGTCTAACAACTTTTAGATATAATCTTATTTAAAACGCTTTTTATTTATTACCTCTAACATTTTCTTTTATAAATAAAGTTCTTTTTAGACCTAAGCCTACTGCTTATTCTGCAGTGCGCAATTCTAGGCCTGTAAGGCCTTAGCTTTTTAAAAAAGTGCTTCTCTCTCTTTCTCTAAATAATCCTACACAGTGTTAAAGATAAAGGTGTTACACTTACTATACTTTTTTACACACTTAACACATTTATCTAAGAATAAAGTTAACACATAAAATAACTTTAAAAACTAGTAAGCGCTATAAGGCCTTATTTTTATCTGCTAAAAAAAATTAAAACAAAAAGTAACATAAGAATAATAAGATAAACAGGACTAGCAAGCTATTTAGTATAAAAAAAATAGATGTTAAAGACGCCTTTTAGTAGAAGAATGCACACCTTATAAATAAACTTTTACTAACACAGTTGTGTAAGCAGAGCAGCAAGAACGCTGCTAGAAAGGAGGGGCAGCGTGTTACAGTCTACAGTTAGACTAGCGTAACTCTACTAGCAGTGCTCTACAATCTAGCCAGGTTAGGGCAGGGCTTGCTTAGAGACTAGTTGGAGGGCACAGAGTTAGCACAGCTGCCTAAAGCTATAGAGGAATGCGTTGTCTAATAGGAAGATAAGCCTAGGGAGCTAGAAAGAGCTTAAGAGAGCCCCTCTTAGCAGGCTCTCCTAAGCTCCTGCTAACTCTTCTTAGCGCCCTAGCACATGTATATAGTTCTAACATTAAACAACCTTTAGAAGGTGTGTTTAATGTTTAGTTTATTTTTTTACATAGACTAAGTAGTATTTAGCTTTCTAAAGAGCTATAATACTATTTATATATCTTGCACTATATATACCTCTAACTTTGTCTAAAAGGACTGTTTAACCTAGCCTCTCTACTGCTGCATTAAGGGCAAACTATAATCTAGTCTCTCTATCCTCCTCTGTTAGCCTAATAGCCTGTACGTAGGACTGTACACCCTACCGGTTGGCCCCTACCACCCGTCCTACTTCCCCCCTAGGAATATCCCCAGACCCAAGTGCTTCCTGAAGCAAGGATTGTAACAGTCTTACTGTGAGCTTCTTGCGCTGGTGGAGACAGCGTACAGACAACAGTAAGCAACAACAAGACGTAATTAGAACAGTATAGGACTAAACCTGCAGCTTAAAAGCTGCTCTTAATTGTCTGCTCTATAAACAGTATAGGTCTAATACATGTATAGATGCTTAAAAAGTCTTGCTTATTAATATAGTAGATATAATTGCGCGCTAGCTTAGAAACCTTGCGTCTGTACACTGTCTTAAGCAGGGAGAAGCAGCTAACATCTAGAGGCTGTAGGAGGTGGGAGCTATAAGCTAGCATGCAGAGACTAATAATCTTGTTCTCTATACAGTATTAGTTAAACTTAGGCGTCGCATAGCTACTGTAGCTGTCTACTATAAGCAGGCAGTAGGCCCTAGTTGTACGCGACGCAGTCTAATTGTTAAAGTGCTTAAGCTAGGACAGACTAAGCTAGTTAGTAGTCTAGCTGTTGTCGCTCACCGCAAGCGTCTAGTCGCCAGGGATATCGCGATACCAGCTAGCCTAGTGCAGCTTGCCTAGTAGGATAATAAGCAGGGGGAGCACCTAGCTAGACGTGTTAATGCACTTAATTATTATAACCTAGTTATAATTGCCTAGCTAGATAGTAGTTGCTTAACTAACTTTATTAGAGCTTATAATAACCTTAGACATACTGCTAGTAATTCTTATTATAAATTTTATCTTATTAAAGTTATAGGTATTTTTATCTAGTATCTTATACTTTTAATGTATGTCCTTTATAAGCTTAAACTAGGCTCTAAACTTAACTAGATCCTAATAAAGAGCGCGCTAGAAGTGCAGCTTTCTGTCCTACTTTGTCTTAAGCTCTAGCTAGCTGTTAATAAAGCGCGCCACCTAGCATTTGCCTACACGCGGGGGTAGAGGCTGCTGGCTACAAGCAGCAAGCAGAGTGTCTGCTATTTATTGCACATTAATAATATGTAGTAGAAAACTGCGTAAGTTAAGGTCTAGGATCTAGCGTATAAGGGACTACTTTTTAACAAGTAATAGCTTTTATTTTCTTGCGTTAGCTGTAGCTTATAGGAGGGCGCCTATAAGGCAACTACAAAGCGTTAATTAAGGCATGTTGTATAGCGCTAAGACGCAATAAATAGATAAATTTTTATAAGTTTAAAGAACAAAGGCAGCTAATGCTAGTCTACCCTCTTTTTAACCTAATTAGAGCTGTTGTGGTGGTGGTAGAGGCATGTTAGTTGATAGAGACGCGTTGATTTTGGTGGGGCTGGCGGATGACTAATTTTGGCGGATGAGTGATAAAACACGTTACTGATAATTCAAAACTGCAGCCCTGAGCTGTGCAAGATGAACTTCTTCCAACGCCCTCTGTGGCACTCTTTTATTTGCCCAAGCTGCATTCAACGCCTACTCAGTCGAAGTCTTTGGCACACTCGTGGCAAGGCTCTTATAAAGGCCCAAGATGGTTTTCGCTCCCTGTTTATCAAATCCGCCTCCTTCCGTCCCTCTCTAAGAGGTTCGAACCTCACCATCGCCCAAGCACGATGCTCTCGGAATAACAGATATAGTACGAGCCCCTCGAAGAAACCCCTCCGAATCGCTGTAATAGGCTCCGGTCCAGCAGGATTCTATACCGCGTACCGATTGATGAAAAAAATTCCAGATGCAGTGGTGGACATGTACGAACAATTCCCAGTGCCATACGGGCTAGTGCGTTTCGGAGTTGCACCTGATCACCCTGAAGTAAAAAATTGCCAGGGCAAATTCGAGGAGGTGGCTGAGTCTGCACGCTTCAACTACATTGGAAACGTTCGTGTAGGCTATGACGTTGAGCTGGTGAAGATGAAACCCCATTATGATGCAATACTCTTCTCATATGGAGCTTCTGAGGATAGGAAATTGGGCATCCCTGGAGAAGATTTGCCGGGGGTTTTATCAGCGAGAGCATTCGTGGGTTGGTATAATGGTCTTCCACAGTTCCAGGATCTCACACCAGAACTCGAAGCTGGGGACCAAGCAGTCATTATAGGTCAAGGAAATGTCGCACTAGACGTTGCCCGGATTCTCTTGACACCAGTAGATGAATTGCGAAAAACAGATATTACAGAGCAAGCATTGGAGTTCTTATCTCGGAGTAAAGCTCGATCTGTGAAGCTCGTTGGGAGACGTGGGCCGCTACAGGTAGGTGGGCTTCATATACTCAAACTCTACTTGTCCCTCTTCAAACACTAATTGTGTGCAGGCAGCATTCACTGTCAAGGAAGTCCGGGAACTGATGAACATTCCGTCCGTGGCATTCGAGTCCATCGACACGTCTCTATTCCCACACGACACCAATAAGCTCCCTCGTGTTCAAAAGCGGATAGCCCAAGTGCTAAATAAAGGATCTGCAAGTCCCCTCTCGTCTTCACCCAAGTCGTGGGGTCTCTCGTTTCTCCTCGCTCCAAAATCCATGAACACCTCTACAGACTCCAAACGTATTTCTTCCGTAGATTTCACTAACCAGGCCTTCGCCCTGAACACCGACCCTTTCTCCAAAACTGCCTCTGTAGTTCCCACAGGTGAAATAACTACCATTCCGGCATCCTTAGCATTTAGATCCGTTGGTTATAAATCTGCTGCCCTTCCAGGGCTGTCAGACATTGGAGCGCCCTTCGATGCAAAGCTAGGCATAATTCTCAATGACCCCTATGGCCGCGTGATGACCCCGTCCGGTGGACCCGGAAACCTTGCGGCTAGGCACATTCCTGGCCTTTATTGTGCTGGCTGGGTCAAGCGAGGTCCGACTGGCGTCATTGCTAGTACAATGGACGATGCTTTTATATCGGCCGATATTATAGCTCGGGACTGGGAACAGCGAGTTCCTTTTTTGAACGTTGAGAAAGGTCAAAATACGAGTACGGGCCTGGGGTGGGACGGAGTAAAAGGCTCTCTTATTGGGAGTGGAGTTCGTCCCTTGGATTGGAATGACTGGAAGAAGATCGATGCTGCTGAAAAGGAGCGAGGCCGGATGATTGGGAAAGAGAGGGAGAAATTCGGTACTGTAGCAGAGATGCTGAATGTCTTGGATAGGTGAGGGGATAATGATCTGAATCCTCTATTCATTCCTAGTAACGGGGAAAACTTCGAGATATGAATCATCCTTGTATAGCAGGTAGTTTAATAACCTAATGTGCACCTAAGCAGTTTCCTTTCCCGTTCAGGGAGCCAAGCTGCTCACACTCCAGCCTGAGCTGTGACTGTGCTGGGGTGAGCACATCCTGGGCCGAGACTGAGCCGCTCGTTGGAACCCAGTTTTGGGCCCTGTATGCGACAAGGGATGTTGAGATTAGGGTCCTCATCTGCCCCAGAGGGCCCATTCCCGGTCACGTAGGCCTGCCAGGTTGAAATAGAAAACACCCTAATGTTGATCTGCGCCACTATATCATTCATGCAAGAGTAAATCCACGAGTGGCTAGTAGGTTCTGTTAGTTTAGTGTAAGAGCTCATAACAAGAGGTAGTTCTTCATCAATTTAACTACAAAAGAGAGGAAACTATTTACTAAGAAGAGTCCTCTCAACTTCCTAGCTTTATATCTATTATTAACTAGCATGTCTTTAGGCGCGAATTCTAACAATTTTATATAACGTACATCACAGGCAAGTTGCTTACACACCTAAGTTACTTACTTTTACTAAGACTATTGTCAGATTTGCGCACCTACTGTCAAGACAGGAGGAACGCTTGACGAAAGCTGCTACATAGTACGAGCAATAAGCTCGAACAGTATGTTGCTGTAAATTGCAGCATTTTGCAGCATGTTGCAGCAAATTGCAGCATTTTGCAGCAT